GTTTAAGTAGGCAACTAAATGACAATATTATTATATAAGTGCAAATCAATCAAGTTTATTTACTAATGCAGGTACACATACAGCTCAAAAGACAGTCATTGTAAATGCTTTATAAATTAAAGGAAATTTATATGTAAATATTAAAAATATCAACAAATTTATGTTAATGTAAAAGTGTAAAAGGCTTTAATTTTGGAGAAAAAAAATATGCATGAGAACGGGAGTGGCTTCATTGCTTCAGATATGTCACTTTTCTCACAGCAGGTCCAGTCAGGGTTTGCGATCTCTAACCCAGAATATAACCTTAGCCATGCATTATAAGTTAACATGATAATGAAACACAATAAGAAGCAACTCACCATCTTGAGCCCCCAAAAAACTTAGTTTGATAAACTAGCACAAATTTACTTTATAAACCCAAACTGGCTTTGTGGAGCAGGGCTTTGGAGTTTATGGAGACCCAGGCAAAGCCAAGGAGATGAAAACCCAAAGTGGTACTTGGTACTTGAGGGGAAAAGCAGAGCTGATGGCTTGTGGGACTGAGCTGGAGACAGGACCTGGATGACCATGGTGGAGTTGAAGTGACCAATGAGCAGTGATTAGAATTGAATGGATAGAAGGATGATCTAGTATATAGTATATCTAGTAGATATAGTAGGTCAAATGCAATAGTGAAATTTGGGTGACGTTTGACCAAGTAGAGCCAAAAGGCTGACTGTGCCCACCCAGCAGAGCCAGTGGGATGATGGCTCACAGTGGAGACAAAGGTCCAAAAAGCCAAGATGGATCAAATATGTCTGAGCTACAGAACCCGGGAGACCTGAGATGAACCTAAAGCATATGAAAAAGCAATGGAGCTAACATTAACCTGTGATGAATGAGCAAAGTAGCTGAGTAAATACTTTAGTCTGGGCACTGTTGCTTTTTAGCTTGCATAATGGCTCTTTATTGGTACCTATAAAACACAGACATATTAAAGTATTAGTTTGCCCCAAAATTAAAATTCTCTCATTTACTCATCCTTCATTCGTTCCAAACTCATTTGAGTTTCTTGTTTCTGCTGAACATAAGTGTTAACATACTGTACTGAAGCTGGAAAAAAAGCAGCCATTGACTTTCATGTAGCACTTTTTGTCTAATATGGATGTCAATGGCTGCTTTTTCCAATTCTTCTGAATTTCTTTATGTTTGTGGTAAACGGAAGGATGGGATTCATGATTGTTTAGCCATTACTCACTTGAGTGTGTGTAAACGGTGGGGAAATGTTCATTTTTGGATGAGGTATTCCTTTAATGCCTTATCCTGCATGATATACATTCCTTGAAATAGTGAATATACGTACACTAAAGTGTTACTAAAAATGATTTGTACATTTCTTTTATATTATTAAATACTTTTTATCTTAACTATCTCTTGACTTTATTTTAACTCTCGAACTCTAATGCCAAATGAATTTCTCCCCAAATTCACTACAATAAGAAAACATATCTGAAGCGTGTCAACCATATTAGACGCTTCTGCACAATAATTCACCTTATTCTCCGCCGATGAGCGGGCGCTGCCATTTGAATCTTTTTGGCTCGAGACTTCCGGTCTTATTCTCTTCCATTCATTTTTTGACGTTAAAAAAAACTGCTCGTTACGCTGCTTGATGTTGCAATTTGATATTTTCTTATTATATTATTCTACTTGGTCTGTATAGTCATGCAAACATTTGTTTGTAGAGCAAGCAGTTTGACCATTTTCTGCCGTTTACTAATCCTAGTCATTTCTCCCATAGGCGACTGAATCGGAAGTTCTAAGACAATTGCGAAAACAGGCGCACTTCCGCATTTTAGAATAAGGTCAATAGCTTAGAATACATGCTACTGTAAGTGAATATGTACTGTACATACCGGTTTAAGCCTAAAGCACCAAGGTAGTTGAGGCTTCTTGGCACAGCGAGTACGCTGAGTATAAACAGATGAAATATTCCTTCGGATCCATTTTGAACATCTGTTCATGGCAGGTCTGCTGCTCTCCACAAGTGTCACAGGTTTAGCAGAAATAATTTGCAGGAGATTGGATGAGCGCCAGCTTTCCTTTTTAACCATTAAAATGTCACAAAGGTAACACAGTCCATCACATTTGCAGCATTTAGTACAGGCACTCACAAACAGAGCGAGTGTTTAAATACGACAAAATCTTATTACCTTAAATAAGGTCACTACTTTAAAAAACACATTTTGTCAAAACATAAATAGTCATACAAACAAGTTGTGCAGTTATAGGAAAAGATGTTAGAATGCCTAAAAAGAAGAGAGTTTAAGGTGTTTTTTTAATGACCTTGACAGGATTATAAAGCATTACCAATGCAGGATTGTGCTTGTAAAAGCTTTCAGTAATTCAAAACACTTGACATGAAACTGTGGTTAACTGCCACTCACTGGTTATTATGGACATGAATAAAAGCTAAACATACTACATAGCGCTGATGGATCAACTCATAGCATTAAAGCCT